TGGAACATAAAGTAACGATCGACACAAAACCAAACTGGACAAGAGTTTAAAATTGTCTCAGGGCTGATATGATTTACCCAGCATGCTACATCTCACACTAACAATCCTCAGCGCAGACTAGAATCACAGTTCAGGAAAGTGGTTTTTATGGGTGTTGCCTGCGGCTCATTAGAAAAACATGATGAGCAAGGAACTGAGTAGGGTTAGCAAATCTGTCAATTTCAATGAGACTGCTTGCCACCAGAAGGGAGGGTGAGATAAATCAGATTTTTTTACGGCTGGGTGGTTAGAAAGGCGCATGAGAGGAGTTTTGCTAAGAACACAGTGGTAGGGCTAGGGGTGTTTGGGCAGGTGCCTCCCACTTTGATTGCCTTTTGTTGGGGTTTGTATTTATTACTTCTATAAGCAACCCCTGATGTACCCACAATGTCCAGCCCTAGATGCAACCTTCCAGCTCCCTCAGCAGCCAGGAAAACAGCCCTGTCCCTTCTTGTGCAAAGCTCGGCAGGATTTACAGGTGAACATACAGCACAGTTTGGCAAGGAAAACCATTTTAGAGCATCAGAAGTGAGACTGGATACACTACGCTTTGTTTGTCCCCTGCAGGAGGGCCAGCACTGAGAGGTAAGCCACTACCAGGCTTTAATGCCCTGATCCTGCAGCGAGCAGGGTGTGGGCACACCCCTATACCTGCACGGAGTTGCACTCCAAAGTAGGAGAATCCACTCAGGAGCAGGCAGTTTGCAGTACAGTCAGGGCCAGAGACTTAAAGTTACAGGTTCAAGCCCAGTGTGGGTCAGTAATGACTGAAAGTTGTTACTCTCTGAAAAATATTTTAAGAAACTCAGTTCAGGTGCTCCTGGGCAGATGTCTGGATCAGAAGCCATTAGCTCAATTGTCCCCTTTGTTGGCCATCTCAGCAGAGACAGGCTGGATGGAGCTGGCTTGCAGACTGACCAGCCCTCGCACTCTAAAAGGTGGTCCTTTCAGGTCGGAGTGCATTCAATACATCTCCACTGCCCCCATCCTTACGCATTTAACAGCTCCATGCCCGTGTGGGAAAACTGGGTAACTGGGCATCAGCACATTCAAATTTCTGATTGGTATGTGAATGGGAAGGGGCTGACTGGGATGGGAGATGGGGAGCTGTGGGTCTCTGCCAAGCCCTGCCCACAAACCAAGCCCCTCCCAACTGAGATGCCACTCATGGTAGACTGTACAGATCTTCATAGTATGAGCATCCATCTCTCTTCTTGCAGCTCATAGTGACACTAGCTGATCATCCTCCGTCAGCACTAGAGGCCATGGCTGGGAGCTGCAGCTGGGAGTGGACCTGTGGTTGGAGCCAGGGGCTGTGGTCAAGGCCAGAACTGGAGCTGGAGCCATGGTCAAGACCACAGTGGGGTCTGGTGCTGTGGCCGGAAGCAGGGCCAGGAGCCGGTGGCCAAGGCTGGGGATGGGGGTGGAGCCAGGAGTAGAGCTGGGGGCAGAATAGAACTGGGTGGTGACCCTTTCCCACCCACGGTGGGGGCTGATCTAACCCCCACTGCATCCTAAATGTTCCTCCATGCCTCCCTAGAGTGCTGCACCTCCCCAAACCTCTGCCCTAGTAATCAGAGAGCGCTCTAATCTCAATTTTAAAATGGCAAGTAATGGAGTATCCACCACATCTCCATTTCAGTTGTGCCGATGGCTAATCACACTCTCTATTAAAAAGCTTATTTCTAATGGATCTTGGTGTAACTTTTACAAAGAACCCTGTACTTGCAGAAATCTTTTAATGTAGGAGACTGTGAAAAAGTCACCTCTTTCCCCTCACCTGGATAAGCTAATTAGATTGAACTTTTCTGAGTTTTTCCACTGACTCATTGTGCTACCAAGTCCTATAACCTCTCTGCATTTCAGAGAGCATCTGTAAAACAGAGACAACAACGCCTCCCCAAGAGGCTGAATAATTGTTTGTAAGACACTTGGGCTTCTTGGATGAGAGGTGGGTGCAAGTGCAAAGCATGCACGCATTTTTGAGACAAGTTAATTTCATCCAGTGAAAAGAAAACATCCTGTTGCTGTGTCAGAAAACACGTTATTGGGTCTGTTCCTAAGGCTCAGCTTCCCCTGAGTGACACCAGAAAGCTGGCCTGTGAAAAGTTACAAAACGCTGCTATCAAATGCAAAGTGCGAGTCTTCCCATGAACATTAGCACATGCCAGCCTTCTGGGGAGGGGAAAACATTTGTTCCCCTCAGCTAAACTGAATCAAACACCCCCAGGTGACCCAGCCTCACCTACACTGATAACAGTGACTGGCCAGGCCCCATGTAACAGAATGACACCGGGAACAGCGGGTGCAGATTCAGAAGTGGGTAACACAGGGCCTCTTGTGCCTGGAACAGGGGGGGGTTCATGCTTCTCTCAAACAGCCTATGTAAGAGGAGGGCTGGCCCTAGGGTTTGTGAGTCCCAGTGCAAAGTAACACACGGCAGGCCCCATCCTGCCCTTTATCACATCCCCGTCCTCTGCAGACTTCTCTGAGGCAGCCTCTCCAGCTCCGTGCCCTGCCCTCCACACCTTGCCGCCCTTCTCACGTTTCACCTGGGAAGCCAGAAGGGGGAGCCAAAGGGCAACTTTCCAAGCATGGAAGGGAGGTGGCTGATGGGAAACTCGCTCTCTGTAGAAGAGCCCAGAGATGAAGGACTTGGGGATGGTGGTTTAGCAGCCAGGCTGGGTGTCCCAGGAGTAGAAGGGACCTGTGTGTCTGCACAGAATACGTAGGGCTACAGCCGCCATGGGGCCTGCTTCTGCAACACTCAGTAATCAGGCAGATCTCTCCCAGAGGGCCAGAGTGCAGACTCCAGGCTCTGATGGCCGGCAGAAGTCCAGCTTGGTTTGTGCATGGCAGTGCTAAGGACTTCAAAGGAGCGGGAGGCTGCCTGAATTCACAGGGCTGCCTACGCTAAGTACACACATTGCACCAGAATATCTTGCACAGCCATGCTAAACTTGTGGGACCAGTTTCCAGGGGTGCCAAGCACCGCCAGCTGCTATCAACTTCAGTGGGAGCTCAGGGATGCTGGAAACCAGCCCCCACGGAGATTGAGCCTCAGGCTACTCAGCAATTGCTAGTGGTTATATCTATAACTTTATTTGTAGCCTGAGATGAATGCCCAGAAAGTGTTTAAGAGGGAAGCCAGAGGCTTGTTCAAATGGAGGGCCTGCACCGGCCAGTGTAGACCCTGCCTTCCTTTCTCAAAACAGCCACTCATCTCCTGTAGCCACTGGAGGATGTTGAGTTCTCTCCTAGCTGTCTGTCTGCACCCAGGAGATGTTTATTTAACCCTGAGCTGGGCTCCCAGATGCTCTGAAAACATTTACTGCTTCTTCTGAGAGTGGGGGCTGGGATTTGCTGAAATGGAAATTCCTGGGAATGGAAAATGAGTGGGAGCAATTGGCATGAACGTCCATCGGTGCTATCAAGGAGAAGCTGGGTTTGTCTCAGCACGGAGATCAGGCCAAACAGTCTCTTCCTTTTTCTCCTTCGGCCCATTTCACACCGAGTGGAATTATTCAATGCAGAATTAGGTGAGGAAAGCAGCCAGATGCATGCACACGCGTCGCTGGCAAAACACTTCCCCAGAGACAAGTACAAAAACAGATCAGCACAAAAGCTCTTGTCATATCGGATTATCGGAGCTTTGATCTGATGCTCTTCTGCTACTCGGCCTCTGCCAAGGGTCAGGACCTCAGATCTCAGAGCATCCCTCGCCTACACTTAGCAAGGCCAGTGTCATGTCTGCCAGGGGTCGGTTAGTGCTCCAAGAATGAGATCAAATTACAGTTATTTATCCTGCAGTAGCAGCTGGGTGTCCCAGTCATGGACCATGACACCCCCACCCCATTGTGCAAGGTGCTGTACAAACACAGAACAGACAGTCCCAGCCTCCGAACGCTTCCACTCTAAGTAGTGACCCTTCCCTGAGCTTCCTCGGCTACAGGCCAGAACAGTAACTACATTTTCCAGGCACAAAACTTGTTTCTTCTCCTGCATCTGGAGCAACTCCACTGATGGCCCAGGGCCAGGTCCTCAACTGGTGTAGGTCAAGGTGGCACTAGGGATGTGAACTATCGGCTAATTGACTAATCGAGCCATAGGCAGGGGCTGCACTGGCTGGGATGCTGGGACAGGCCCTGCTTGTGGGGCACCCAGACCCATTGAAAGGTAGTGGCTGCGCTGGCCTCCCACAGGCCTGAAGCAGCCTCCTGGCCCTGGCAGGTGGGAAGCTGCTCCAGCCCCACCCATTAACCTTAGTCAGTAAGCCTCGCCTCTTAAGGGTGAAGCTTACGGGTTAACCCTTCACATCCCTAAGCATTACCTCAGTGCACAGTGAGATTGTGAGCGAGGCCCTCAGTCATGTTGAAAACTCAGCCACAGCCAGAGCAGGCCATACTCAGCAAATGCAACGCTCTTGAAGTCTATGATTACACCAGGGCAGCACTGACACAGAGGCTTCCTGTGGCAACCAGCGTCACAGGCTACCAGATGGGCAACACCATTTCCCCCTTCAGCAGTTCTTATATGTCCCAGCCCCTTGCTCTCAGAGCAGGGATGGGCTGTAAAGAGAAGACTGATCAGAGTTTGCTGTGCCTATCAGACAGCTGAAAAATCAAGTCTTGCAAAGCCTGCCTCTGACACACAGGAAAGCCCTGTCGCTGCCAGGCTGGGCTGGAGAGCGCTGGAGGTCCTAGCTATGATGAAAAGTCACCAAAGAATGTATCCAGAAGAGGGAAAAGTGTCTCATGGAAGAGATTAACTGGTTCCCCAGATGCCCACACACCTGAATTCCTGTGTGCCCAAACCATCCCCTGTCCCTACTCTGGGTCCAGATTCTGTAGCTGGCCCCTCCTTCTCTCAAAGACTGAACCAAAACCTCAGATCCAACCTCTTGGGCATTCTAAAGCCAGGTCCCCTTCCACCGCCTGCACTGTGAGTGAATGTGCTCTTACCAGGTGCAGCCTGGAGCTGGTGTTCCTTCACGGATGGATCCTCATTGCCAAAGCCTGGGGCCATTCTTGTAGTTTCCTGATGCCCATAGAAAGTGCTAGGAAATAAGACGGAAAGTTTCCCTCCACCTCTTCCCCAATGTCCTGCGCTCCCATTGGCTTGAGTGGGGCTGCATGGAGCATGAGCTAGCCTAGGATTTGGCCCATGGAGTCTAGACACAGATAACGTTCTACAAAGCTGGATCCGACGGCTGGATCCATCAGGAGATTTGCCACAAAGGTTTCACGAAATCGTTCTTCTGACGTGAAATGAGTGGGGGCTAAATTTCTCCCCCAGGAGAGACACTGCCAGCAGAGGAAGAAACATGCCGACATTGCTAAAAATAGACATGGATGGAGAATTGACAGGGCCAGATTGGGTGTGTGCCCAGCTGCTCTGGGTCTGCACACTGCAGCAGTCTTGGGGCCCATTTACTCTGGGGGCTGATCACTGTCCCAAATCTTAGAAAAGCAGGTGGGCAGACAGGAAGGTGGCTCCCCTTGTCTACACCAGCCTGCGAAGTGGGTCCAGCACACTGCAGGGAGCATTGATACCAGCTGAATGCATGGTGCAAAATGGGCACCTCGGTGCATAGAAAGCCTAATGGGGTGAAATCTCCTTAGCGCTGCCCCTGTAGGGTGAATGTAGATCTCTTATGCCAGAGTCACTCCACACTGCTGTCAGTGGGCATCCAAGAACAGACTCCATCCCCAGATATGCCAGGTCACATACCCACAAAACACCAAATAATGCAAATCACAATCCTTTAACCCTGACACATGCTCCCACCTCATTTTCCATGCCAAGTCTCCCTAGGAATAGTACACACCCCTGCTTTAACCATGACGGGGCCTCTGACTCACAGAAAAATCAGCTGGACGCTGCACACAAGTGAGAAGCAAAAACAAAACGAAAACCAAATCCTCCCTTACGTAGCCCTGACTGAGAAGGAGAAAAACTCTGCCCACATTCCCTCCCCACCAGAGCCTAGTGGGGCCCAGGCTAGTAGATGTTGTGTGCTCCAGCCCTACTGTGTGTGAGGGGTGGGGGGAAGAGGCTGGAACACCAGTGCAGGCTCCCCAATGCTTGGGGGGGAATCCTGAGCCTTGGGGGCCAGATCAAGACAGGCCGGGGCCCACATCTGGCCGGCCCCTGGACCTCAGGTTCCCACCCCTGCTGTAGTCAGATCACATGACATACTTAGAAACCCAGCAGGGCTACCTGGTATTCTTGGCTGTTTCTTCTGATTTTCTCCAGCTGGTCAGGGCTGACTCTTGGAGTTATAAATGTCTGGGAAACTGACACTGCAGAGTCCTAGCTGCAGCAAGTCTTGATTCAAAGGGCTAAATATAGAACCCCCTGGCCACCACCAAAGAGACTTTGCAAACATTCACACAGGGCTCACAGTGACTGACAAGCACACATTGACATACACATTCAGCCTCTAAGCCGCAGCCTGCTAATTTGTTAATCATTATCAAGCGATTGCTGGTCTCCCAAGCCTGAGGGGAAAGCTTCCTTGCTATCTTTTTGGAGATAGCTGACTGTGTTGTAAGTGCAAATGGCTTTAGGTGGAAGAGAACCTTAAGTGTTGTCCGATTTCCTGCTGCATGAGCTAAGACTTCGGATGAAAGAGAGTTATTTTTTTCATCCCCTCGCTACCATTCAACTCTTCTTTGCAAAGTCAAAAAAGCCGCAGATTGCAGCTGGTCCCACTTGCTCCTGCTCATGGAGAAAAAGCAGTGGCCTTTCATCGTTTACATTTAATTTAAGGGCTGAGCCAACCTTCTGCACGCCTTTCCTTTGCCGGTTAGTTGGAATAAGTGATGGGAGCACGCTGACTGTAGCAGGGTGGCACATACTGCATGGAGAGCAGCTTGTACCATTAACCTCTGGCGTGGCTTTTTATGATACTAATTGTTCCATTTTTCTGCATTTTACATAAAGCCATGGAAATAAATGCCACCTCCGGAGGTGCGGAAGGCCAGCATGAGAGCTACCACCAGAAGCTGGTGAGTCTTTGGGGGGGCTGCAAACTGCCCCTTATAGAAATGAAGGGAGGTGGCAGGAGGGAGATCCCATTTCATGTCTGAGGGTGATAAATATAGAGCCTTTGCCTTAGGGATTGCTCCTGTCCCTTAATGCAGGGTGTGTGCACTCCCTGTTGATCTGCAGTGACCTCCTGCTGGAAAGGTGGGGAGCAGGGGGGAGAGATGAGCCATAGGCAAACAGGACTGGAAAAAGCAAACAAAGTCAAGCTGTTCCTGATGCAACCGGGATGGGGTTTAGCCCTTTACATGGAGAACCAAGGAGCTGGGACTGGGAGTAGTGAGAGCAAACCAAGGAAACCGGTCAAGTGCTCCCAGGATGTGGGGCACAAGAGATCCTCAGCCTGAGTGAACCAAAGTGATTTCATTTAGCACAATAAGTGCTGCCTCTGGCTTGGGTCCATCACCCTGGCTTGGGTCCAGTTCTGTTTGACCATCACTTCTTCCAACGCTGCTTCCAGCATGAGGTTTCAAGGAGACACAGAAGGGCAGATGCTGAGCTCTGCTGCACCAGAGTGAGTCTGGTGTTTAAGAGCCATTGAAATGAATGGGAAAACTCTTCTTAATGGTGATAGGACCAGGTTATCCCCCAGCTCCACAGAAGTCCAGATGTACACAGTTGTCACAGAGGTGAGACTCGAGCCCTGAGTGTCCCATCTTAATGCACCACAGATGCACCTGTCTTATACAATTGTCCCGGCAGGAGCAATTAACAGGAGCAGGGAGGCAGAACGCTCCAGCGGCTAGGAGTTGGGAACATAAATGGGGACCCCGGGGCTGAGCCCTCTCAGGCACAGTCCATACTGAATCTCTGCAGGTTCACACAGCAGCTAAGTCCTGGTCTAGGCCGGATGGACTCATCTGAGCTTCTCTTACCTAAGGTAACCTAGACACACACACTAGCCACCAAAGTACAAACTGTCCTAAGAGAGATTAAGAGGGTTATGTAAGTGGCTGGCCGCCCTTCCCAGGGCAGTGCCGTTCAGGTCGATCAGTCACCCTGGCAGAGCTCCCAAGTCTTTCTCTGCTGGGGCATGTGGGGCGCTGTCAATTCAACCTACACTAGGGATGTAAAATCCTGTTTCAAAGGTTAACCGGTTAAACTTTACGTTTAACTGGTTAACTGGCCTGTTGTGTAACACCGTGGGCAGGGAGCCGGTGTAGTGGGCCAGGCATCAGTAAACTGGTTACCTCTTTACGGTACGTCTACACAGTAGCACGTAGCTCGAAATAAGCTATGCAGTTTGAACTACGCAACTTGCGTTAGTATATTTAAAAATCACCTATTTTGAAATTTGGTGCTGTGTAAGCAGCGCTAATTTCAAAATAGAGCGCTATTCCGACGAGTCCCTTAATCCTCGTGCAACGAGGTTAACAGGATGTCGGAATAAACAGCCCAGTATTTCGAATGTATTTCAAAATAACAGCCTTGCTGTTCAGATGCACAGAATGCTATTTCGGGATAAATGCTGCACAGGGTTACATCTGGATCGTGCTCCTCTCTTTTAGCTTTGAGAATGGGACTTGATCCTGCAGGTTGCTGGGTGCCTAAATGCCCTCTAACGTTAATGGAAGCAGAGGGTGCTGAGCACCTGCGGAATGCAGGATGAAGGAGGCTGTTGCTGTCAAACACTATGTCCCTGTTTATGTGTCTCCCCACCTGCCAAATCACAAAACCCTTTTATGCACCAAAAGCCAAATTCTCCACTGGTGTAAACGGAGCCAACAGAGCCAGGCCTGACTGCATAAGCTCCATAAATGAAGAGCAGTGAGATACAAGGGTCACAAATGCATGTGAGCACCCCACAGCACCCCCTGGCTGGCAGGACACTATGTCCTGTTCCAGATACGTACAGAGCTCTTAGCTAATTGCTGTCTGGGTGATTTGTCCTAGGCATTCACTACCAGATGGTTCTGTAACAGCAGGAAACAAGGAGAGCAGGAGCAGACTGTGAAGGTTTCATCTGGGCTCAAATCCAGGTTAAAATGGAATGGCTTTACTAATGGACTCTTTGTCTACTGCATCCATCGCAGGAATACAGGCGGACTCATAAATGTTTCCAGAATCTCTTCTAATAGCATTTTTTTGGGGTGTGGAGATGGGGGATGGAGAATTTTCTAATCATTTGCATTCTCCCTCCCTCTGTGGGATCTCAATATAAGGCAATTATTACATCTCACACATTTAGATATTGGCTCCTTGCTGGCTAGCTGTAAAATCTCCTGATTTCACCATGACCCAAAGGAATAAACTTTCTGATACAAAATCACTGCTTGAGGAGTTAAAGAGAGCCTATGAATTCAGAACTGGGAATTGGTAGGGGTCTGAGTGTTAGGGATTCAACAGTTTAGCGCTAGGGCCGTGTCTAGACTGCATCCCTTTTACGGAAAAGGGATGCAGTCTAGACACAGCCTAGAGGGATAATGGGATCCCATTATACCTCTAGGCCGTGTCTAGACTGCATCCCTTTTACGGAAAAGGGATGCAGTCTAGACACAGCCTAGAGGGATAATGGGATCCCATTATACCTCTAGGCCGTGTCTAGACTGCATCCCTTTTACGGAAAAGGGATGCAGTCTAGACACAGCCTAGAGGGATAATGGGATCCCATTATACCTCTAGGCCGTGTCTAGACTGCATCCCTTTTACGGAAAAGGGATGCAGTCTAGACACAGCCTAGAGGGATAATGGGATCCCATTATACCTCTAGGCCGTGTCTAGACTGCATCCCTTTTACGGAAAAGGGATGCAGTCTAGACACAGCCTAGAGGTATAATGGGATCCCATGTTCTTTTGCATGCAATGCTGTATGTACATTAACAATTAGATGCACACATACCTTCGCAAGATACTGAGCCAAACCCTGAGCTAATGTAAATCAGCAAAGTCAATGGAGCTACTCTGATTTATTTTATACCAGCTGAGGATCTGACCTAGGATTCCCGGTACCAAAATAAAGGGGAAGAGGGGTTGGTCCAGGCCTATCTATGAGTTAAATATTTTTATTTCACCCACAGGTCTCAGTTTTGTCACAGTACAAAATTCCCAGTACCTTGTGTTAGGAGGTCACCCGAGATGCTAGTGGAAGGGTGAAATAAAACAAAAGAATGCATATGCCTCTCTAGATCTAGTTCAAAGATTGTTTTAATTTTCCTTTCCCTCTCATGGGACTTCATAAAGGATGACATTTGGCACGTGCAAAAGCAGTTCCTAGAACAATGGATCAACTGCAGATTATGCACCTGAGCTGAGTTTTAGTCCCCTTGGTTTAGAAGAATTTTTTAAATAAGAGGTTATGAAAAGTCTGTGACTTCTGCTACATGCACATCTCTTAGCCACAACACTCCTGAAACTGCTGTGTGCATATCATTTGTGATCTCAAACTCCAACTGGTGCAGATGTTCAGTTTGTTACCCTGTTACATCAGGACTAGAGAAAGAGAGAGAGAGAGATTTTCTCAGCTTTGCGGATGCAAAGAAAAACAGATAATTTAGTCTCACCATGAGGGAATAACAATCTTTCCATTCCACTAGTATCTGTGGAGAATGTTAAATGGAAGCTACTCAAGTAAGATATTTTTATTTCAATTGATTCAGATAACTCGTATCAAAGAGTTTTAAAAGAGCTGGCTGAGAAGCTTACTGGTCCATTAATGTCGATTTTTAATGTGTTGGAGAAGTAGGGAAGTTCCAGAAGTCGGGAAGAAAGCTAATGTTGTGTCATTTCTTAAAATGGCAAACAGAATGACGCAGGTAATTATAGGCCTCTCAGCCTGACATTGATTGCTCACAAGTTAACGGAGTGGCTGATGTTACTTGCTTCATAAAGAATCAAAGGAAGGTAATGAGATTGGTGCAAATCAACACAGGTTTGCAGAAAGTAAATTCTGTCAAAGTAACCTGATTTTTTTTATTGACATTACACGTTTGGATGATAAAGGTACTACTGTGGATGTAATATTTAGAACAGATAATCAGCACATGAGCTCCCCATGTGACATAACAGCCAAAAGAGCTAATATGATCCTGGGTTACATAAAAAGGGACTCCCAAGAGGGATCAGAGAGATTGTTTTATCTTTATGTTTGGTGCAATGGCTGCTGGAATCCTCTGTCCAGTTCTAACCTGGTGACCCCAATTCAAGAAGGATGTTGGCAGACTTGGAGAGTGTTCCAATAAGAACCAGAAGAACCATAAAAGGGCTGGAAAAATTCATCCTGTAGGGTAGGTCTACACTGCAGTAAAAGGCCCACAGCTGACCAGCTGTGCAGTGTAGACACTTGGGCTTGGCCTGGGACCTGGTCTGTGAAATCCCCATAAGGAGGAAAATCTCAGAGCCCAACTCCAGCCTGAGCCCAAAACATGTGCATCACAGTTTTTAGCATTAGAGCCCTAGATCTGTGCATTTGAGTCCATTGCCCTGGGCGCTAAGACTTGGCGCAGTGGGTTTTTTAATTGCAATATATTGTACCCAAAGTGATAGGCTCACAGAGCTCAGTTTAGCTTCACAAAGAGGAGACTGTGGGGTGACGTGATTACAGTCTGTAAATATCTAGGTGGGAAGCAAATGGCTCTTCAGTCTCGTGTAAGTGGGGGTATGGCCCTGTTATTGCGGGGAACTTTCTGGGCTTATACCTACCTCTGTGGAACTGGCTAGTAAAAGGGTCTGAGTCCTTACTGACACTCTCTTTACCCAAAGGCCTGCCTGGCCTCAGGACTCCCTTTCACCCTCCTGTGTAACCCTCACAAGACTGGGCCCACGATTCTGGAGTGGAGGGGGCGATCCCCAATCTAGTGGTCATTTAGCACAGGGGCAAGGGTGTCCCCACTCTGGGGTGCGCTCTCCACCCTGGATGCTACCCTGACCCCACTGATCATTGTATATAATTCAAAGCAACCAATTAACCATCACAACATGGGATGGGTTAAAGGAAAACATAACCCTGTGGACACAGGGAAACAATTGTCTCTGGGAGGGAAGGGCATTTCTCAGTCTGCTCCTCACCCCTCCCAGGCCTCCTTCCAGGCACTGGCTGTGCTGCAAGAATGCCTTGGGTCAGACACCTGTTCTGGCAGTGGCCAGTCCCCCTCAGGCTGTAGGTGGCAGGGCCCCTTCTTCCCAGTATTGGCCTTCCCCTTGGGGTTATGATCCCACTCCAAGTCCAGCCTGCAAGGCCTCTTGGTTGGTGGCATCTCCCTGCGCTGGGCCCTCTGCCAGGGTCCCAGCTACTCGCTGCACTCAGCAAGAGACTGCTCCAACCCCAGCAGCAGCTCCACTCCGCCTCCATGCTGCTGCTGCTTCTCTGCCTCCAGCTCAGCTCCTGGGGCTGCTCCTCTGGACCCTGAGGCTCTGCCCAGCTCCGGCTGCTTCCCTGGTTCACTCTGACTGAGGCAGCCCTGCTCCCCAGCTTAGCTCCGGCTCCTGCTCTCTCCTTAGCTCGGCCCACTCGTTCCAGCAGCTCCCGCTCACACAGAGAATGGGACCCCCCGCCTCCCTCATTGGCTGGCCTACCCTGTCAACAGGGGACCCACAGAATTGCAGGGCCCCTGGGCAAGGTGGAAGGAGGGCTGGCTCCACACTCCCAGAAGGGGGCGGGGACTCTGGAAGACAGGGCGGGGCTGGGACTAGCCTCCTCCTCCCCCCGCCAGCCCTGGAGCAGCCCTCCAGCAGCGATGTAAAGACCCTGGGCTCTGGCTGTTGCTGCAGTAGCAGCAGTGTATGGGAACCTGGGGCCTTTCTGAATTGCCTTGCTCCGGGACAGTTGCCCCCTTTCCCCCTCTTATTGCCAGGCCTGCCTGTCAACCAGGATGACCTGAGGGGGCTGGCCTCTCCCCTCTGGCCCTGGCAACTGTCAGTCTCAGGGTCCAGCTTTCTCATTGGCCCTTCCCATTTCTTGTGATGCTAGGAGATGGCCAACCAAACCCCCTCCCACTAATTTTCAGTAAGGCTCCAAGGCTATGTCTGTTAAGAGTCTGCATCCATTTGTCTGTTCCACACAGTTGTTTTATTCACCCACAACACCCGGGCTACTTCGCGGTGCCCGTCCTGCCCTCTACGCATACGCTGTAGAGGCCAAAAGACGCGGAAAGTTGCCTCTGATTGTAGTCCCTAGATCGCCTGCCGGCGGCGGGGACAGAGGGTCCGGGCCCACCCACTCTCCTGGACCCTGGCCCAGAGCCCTAACACAGGGAACCGTGCTCCCTGTGGTAGCAGACAGGGGGTTACCCCTAAACTCGCGGGCTTCGCAACCCCACTCTGGGTCATTGTTCAATGCCACCGGGGACCCTCTTGGCAACCCCTCAGGTAGGTCCCCGTGCACTACCATCCCCCTCTGCCCCATTACCTGCCACCTTCGCCTTCTCCCCTCTGCTCGTGTCCTTCCCCAAACTTTTATCCTCCTCCCTCCCTTTCCACTCGGCGGGTGACATCATCCTCCCTGGTTGCCCCGCCGCCCTTTCCGCCCCGCTCCCTGTTGCGCAGGTGACGTCTCCCGCTGTGACCGGCGGGGTGTTTTGCCCGAACGCCTCCCTTGCCCCCTCCTGCCAGATTCCTGTGCCGCGCATGCCAGCTCCCTCCCCAGGCGTACTTGTGGCACTTGCACTGCAGCTTCTGGAGGGGTGCGAGCACGTGTTCCTCCGGCGTCCCGACCCCCCCGTTGACTGTAGTGGTGGGGTTGCCTCACCCTGTCACAATGTCTACACTGCACACTTATTTTGAAATAACTCATGTTATTTTGAAACAACAGAATGCGCGTTGACACAGCAAGCCCGTTACTTTGAAATTATTTGAAAATAATGGACTTCTTACTCCGACTTCTGTAACCCTCATTTCATGAGGAGTAAGGTAAGTTGAAGGAAGAGTGTTCTTTCTTCGACTTCCTGCTGTGCAGACAGCGCCTAAAGCCAAGTGAAGGTACTTCAACTTCAGCTACGTAATCAATGTAGCTGAAGCTGTGAATCTTAACTCACCTTTAGCCCACAGTGTAGACATACCCAGTCCCCTTCCGCAAGCGTGCTCAGAAAAAGAAGTTGAAAAACTTATCAGCACCACTTCCTGGTGCATATCACATCACAGTGCAGGATGTATTAATGACAGAGGTGCTTCTTTTCATCATGTTACCATCGGTTAGACTCACTGAGCAAAGGGGCATGGCTAATGCAGTGTGACTGCAGAACCATATATGCCCTGGAAAAATGAATGAGTATAAACCGCAGCCAAAAAAAGTGCCTCTTCGTAACCCAGGAGCAATGATGGGGAAATGGAAATTTGAAACATCTCCAGATGTGAAAGTTCTCTTGCACTTATTTTTGGCCCATGAGACACTCATTGTGTGTGGGGGGGGTGTATGTTCTGTAACTATTCTAGGAAAATAAAGCTGAAGAGAGTGCACACCACTCTGAAGACGAGCAGGAAGAGAGCAAGAAAAAGATGGGGAAGAAAACTCTGGCTGATGTAATTCAAGAAATGAAAACTTTCCTTTGGAATTCAGAGACAAGAGAATGTATGGGAAGAACAGTTAAGAGCTGGGGTAGGTTAAATGGCTGAATTTCTTTCTTTCTTTTTTCTCTTGATGTGCTTCTCTGTGAATTTCCCTGCTGACACACTGCTGGAGCCAGCAGCCTCTGCAGGCCCCTTGGGAGTGTCGGAGTGGGCCCGGCTCCGTGCTCCCGGAAGGGGCAGGGCTGAGAGCAGAAAGGATGGAGCTACTGCCTGGAGCTCTGTGTGCCCCTCCCACCCGTGGCACGCTCCAGCATAGTGCTCTGGCAGCAATTTAAAGAGCTCAGGAATCCGGCTGCAGCTGCCGTCTTTGAATCACCGGGTCCTGGAGCAATTATCCCCTTTGTCCCTCCCCTTCTCCCTCCACCCTGTCAGCAGGCCTGGACACAGCAGGGAATCCAAATCCTAGACCTTTTAAAGGACCCATATCCATGCATCTAGCAGATGGCTCAATAAGGAATTATAAAATGCTCGCTGTCGATGTGCCCGTGGCACCTACAGCCACGGGGAAGTTACTCGTGTTTTTTCTCCTGTGCCAGAAATATGATTCCGACATGAGGGCTGCACGTTTGCTCTGGTGGTAAACACATCATAGATGCTGTGATTTTTTTCAGCTGGTTGGTGGCTTTTTGTGGTGCCTGGGGTTTTAATAAAGCAGACTTCCCCAAGCAGTTGTGACCTGCCAGTGGGTGGCAGGATGTTGCTAGGTGGACTGCAGACCTGATATGGAAAGGAGACTTCCATTGCGGGCGGAGCGGGAGTGCAGGCCCACCTCCCACAATGGAAGCTGCTATCCGTGGGGCTGGCCTAGCTCTCCACTACGGTTGCCAACTGTGCCTGAAGCTATTCCCGGAGATTTCCCTGCCCTACCCCCAACATGCCGTAATGTCATTTTCCTAACAGAACCTATGAAAATTTCCAGAGTTGCTTTCAATAGTCACCATTCCGGGAGACGCCAGGCCATCTGTGGCGGTTTGGGAACCCTGCTCTCCGCTGGGGCTGCAGTGACACCGCGGTTTGGCCTGGCTGCCCTTTGTCACCATGAATGCAGGGTGGCCAGGTGGAATGCAATTGAGAGGTGCTGCAACCAGTGGCGAATTTAGAGTTAGTGGGGCCCTGTGCTCAGCTTCCTTTTGGGAGCCCCCTTGGGGACCCAGATAAGAAAAAGAAATTCTCTTCCTGCCCCTCCCATTTTTCATTCTTTATTCTTCATCCTACTTCTAGATTATAAGTTATAAAAAGTAAATGAAAAAAAAGTGAGGTGCCTGGATTGTTTTTGGGGGTCTAACTTTTTTTGCACAGACCACTTGAAAACTACTGAGGGTCTCAGTGGACCACTTAATGATCTTTCCAATTATTGTTTGTACCATTAGCTAACTATTGCAAAGTGCTTTGGTTGAGGGTGCTTTATAAAAAAAACCTCATAATCTCCATGGCTGTGGACGACAGCTTCAGGCACCCCGGTGGCCTTGCACTGGCTGGCCCGGCGATGTGGGGAACTAAAGGTAGTTCCGTTGGCCACCTGAGCGCCCCGGGCTCTCCATCCCCCAGCCGCTTTCCCCCTCGCCCACGGGCAGCTGCCACTCACCAGCACGAACAGAGGCTGGAAGGCTTCACTGGAGCATTGGGTAGCCACACAGCTGGTGGCTGAACAGAAGCGGCACTTTCTGGCTTCAAAGTGCCACTTTCCTCTGGCCGGTTGTGCGGCTGCCCCATGCTACTCTGAAGGCTTCTGGCCTGTGCTTGCGCTGCTCACTGCCTCCTTCTCTGCTCCTTCTGCCCTTCTGCCCCTCATATCCCTCTCTACAGAGGGACTGCTCCCCCCATTGCAATGCATCCTCCCCCTGCGCTGGAGGAGGTGCCACACATGGTGCTGGATTGCTCGGCTCTGGCGGCCCCATGCTATTGGGGGGCCTGTGTCAGGGTACTGTATGTTTCATTGTAAATCTGCCTCTGGCTCCAAGCTCTCCTCACTGGGCTGCGATTTTTGCAATGGCAGAAGCAGGAGGTGCTGCTACAGGTGGTCTGTGACCCCTTGGCAGAGTGAGGAGGAGGAGGCAGTGAGGGAAAGGTTTCTCTATGTTAGAGTTAGAGAGATATAGCTGAACTTTCATACCCATGACTTAACACACCAGTTCCCCCAGCTCAGCACTTCTAGTAAATTTCCCCATGACTGCGCCATAATTTTTGATAAAAAAATTCCTTGACCAATCTGTAGCCCTAAAGTTACCAGACACGGGGGTGGAGGGTGGCGCTGAGGCAAATCTAAGACTCGTGCCAGAATGCATAGACTGCAGGAGATGTCCAAGGTTGAGTGATTTTACTTAGACTGAACTAAAGATCTGCCCTGCAGTACGCCTGCATCCCCACAGATGTCCGTGGGTGTCCTTTCTAAGCTGATACTGGTATAAATCAAGAGTGACGCCAGGGAAGTTAATGGAGTTCACTGGTCTAAAAAGCAGTGTAAATGGGATCCTACTCCGGTGTGGATAAGTTGCCATGTAACGGAAGCAGGATTTGGCCCTGCATGTGCTCCATGGCCTTCGGTCTCAGCCTACACTCCCGTCCTTTCAACTGGTAAACTGAGACCAAAACCATTAGGTTGGTGCAGCTTTCAAGCCAATCGCTGCTCTCAGCTAAACAGGTCTGGACAGCAGTGTGTGACCTTTGGGTTTTAGTAGCAATTTTCCGCAGTAGCATTAAAAGCTATAGGAGAAAAAATTCACCAGTGACTTCAGCAAGTGGACAGGAAAGAACATTTAATTGGTTATTCATAGAATGGATTTGCCTGGCAACTGGAAGAGCCATTGCACTGTAGTAGACGCCCTTGCATTTAGACCGGAGCTCCATTCTCTCTGGAGCTAGTGTAAATTTGAACCTGGCAGCTAGGGATCTTAGTGCACGAGCCTCTAAAAAGCCAGCTGGCTCTCAGCTAAGGCTGTAGCAGACTCATTATTCTCTCTGTAAGTGGTCTCTGTGCCACTAAGGGGGACAAGGAAGCCGGCACTGGTGCTCCAGGAGGCCAACCCAGCATCTTTCATAAGCACTGAAGTCACCAAGGGAAAACATTTAAACATGTCTCCATTTTGGTGATGTTTGCAGCACTTCCATGTGGTCTAAGAACTCCCCTCCCGCCTCTGCAGCACTTCCATGTGGTCTAAGAACTTTGCACTCCCCTCCTGCCTTCCTGGGGCTGCACACCTAGATGGCTCGCACACCGATCATGGTTGAACACCACTTAGGTTTGTAAGTGTACCACTGTCCGGTGAGGTGTGTAAGTGGCCATTTGCACATTCTGTTCACAGTGACAAAGCATGCACTTTTGGTGAAATATCAGGCCCTGAAGGGATGTGTAGGGCTTTTCTGATGAACGTGTAATTCCCACAAATGACTGAATCAGCTCCTTGTGCATCTGTGTGGCTTAGCGTGTAAAGTGGTGCCCAGATGTCCCGGGGAAGGGTGATTGTGGATTAGATGAGATCAGTAGACACGCTGTGGGGTCCAGGTAAGTGTGTTAGCGCCATTGAGAGACCAGACAAGTATCTCAAAGTGGATGGATCTGATTCACTTCACATTTACATGAGCATAAATAAAGAGCAGTTCCTGTGGCAGCATTACCCCGATGTTTAACTGATGGAAGCCAGAGAAGACTTCCCAAGTCCCTACTCTCCTAAAGCTGCTTCTTGCCCTGGGCTCAAACCCATGCCGTGTAAATCAGAATTACACACCCACGCTCAGATTCTAGCAGTGAAGCCAGAGATACAAAGGCAAGCCTGATCAAAGCATCCCTGCCCATCCCTTTGGATGAGTGGAGACTGTAGCCAAATAACTCGTGACATTACTCACATGAGTGTGGGAAGCAGGGGCTGGCTCAAAAGCTAGGATTTTGTTTTGACAGCCATTTTCATGGCCTTCAAAAAAATTGTACTCTGGGCAAACCATGCTCAACAGATTAAAAACAGGCCTTGTGGGGTGGTAGACTGAGAATGCCTGACCCAGAGCCATAAACATTGCTGCTGCTCCCTTACAGCACACAGATTGTGATGGGCATTTGTGGTTCTGTTTTCTTAGCCTTAAACAACTCATTCATGAGCATGAAAATGGTCAGTCTTGAACCTCGTGATGAGCACTTTTGCACTGGAGTAAAGTAGAGCAAATAACTTTGGGTATGTCTACACTACAATGTTAGTTCGAACTAACGGACGTTAGTTCGAACTAACATTCATAGCCGCTACACCAGCGCCCCCCC